AGTTTCCCCCTTCTCAGTAGTTCATTCTGCTATCAATAAATTAATCCATTAAATGAGCCCTCATGATCCAGTCATTGCCTAAAAGCACCATTTCTGAATCTTGATGCTTTGGAGACCATGGTTCCAATACATAAGCTTTTGAGGGATATTCCAGATCCAAACAGTAACAAATCCATGTATCATTTTGTATAATACTATTATCTTAACAATATTAAATCTTCTAGCCCACAAACAGGAGATGTCTTTTTATTTATTTTCTGATTCTTTAATTCTTACACAAGATTTGGTAGTTTTTAGTATAAAAATTTTGTTTTTATCTTCTTGGTAAATTCCCAAGTATTTTATTCTTTTTGATATTATTGTGAATGGAATTATTTTTCTTAGTTGTCCTTTTGGGTCCTTCATTGTTAGTGTATAGAAACTCTACTGATTTTTCTGTGTTGATGATGTATTCTGCTATTTTGCCGAGTTCATTCTAACAATTTTATGTGAAATCTTAAGGGTTTCTATATAAACAAGTGTGAGCTTTGAACATAGATAATTTTTTTTTTTTTTTTTAGAGAGAGAGAGAGAGAGAATTTTTATTATTTATTTTTTAGTTCTCGGTGGACACAACATCTTTGTTGGTATGTGGTGCTGAGGATCGAACCCGGGCCGCACGCATGCCAGGCGAGCGCGCTACCGCTTGAGCCACATCCCCAGCCCTGAACATAGATAATTTTTGCTTCTTCCTTTCCAATTTAAATGTCTTTATTCCGTGCTTAATTGCTTTGGCTAGAACTTCCAATACTGTGTTGAATAGAAGTGGTAAAAGCAGGCATTTTTGTCTTATTCCTGATTTTGGAGGAAAAGCTTTTATTCTCTCACTGTTGAATATGTTGTTATCTGTGGGATTTTCATATTGAGACAGTTTTTGTTATATTGAGACAGTTTTCTTCTATAGGGCTGTCAGTTTCTTGACTGTTTTTATCATGACAGGGTGTTAAATTTTGTCAAATATTATTTCTGTATCAATTGAGATGATCATGTGGAACTTCCCCCCCCCCTTTTTTTTCTGTTAATGTGATATATTAATTAGTTTCCTATGTTGAACCATCCTCATATTCCAAGAATGTTTTAGTCAGCTTTTTCATTGCTGTGAGTGAAAGACCTGACCAGCGCATTTGAAGAGGAGGAAAAGTTTATTTGGTTTTAGAGACTAGTCCATAGAAAGCTGGTTCCATCTCTCAAAGGTCGAAGTGAGGCAGAATATAAGTCATGGTAGAAGAGTGTGGCAGAGGGAAGCAGCTCACATGATGATCTGGAAACAGAAAGAGAGATCTCCACTTGCCAGATACAAATATACACCCCAATGCCCATCTGCCTTTATAGTTACCACTCAGTTAATCCCATCAGATGATTATTTTACTGATTGGGTTAAGGCTGTCACAATGATCATTTCCCCTCTGAACCCTTTCACATTGTCTCACTTGTGAGCTTTTGGGAGACACCTCACATGCAAACTATAGCAAAGAATAAAACCCACTCGATCATGGTGATTGATCCTTATAATATGGTTCAGATTTTGATTGGCAGTATCTGGATAGGATTCAAAAATGGATAAAATTGAAGGGAGAATTAGTTTTACAATAATAAGTGGAAACGTCAATATCTAACTTTTAACAATGAGTAGAAAAAAGACCAATATCCCTTATGAACATTGTTAAAAGTGGGCGCTGGGGCTGGGGCTCAGTAGTATTGCAGTTGCCTGGCATTTGTGAGGTACTGGGTTCGATTCTCAGCACTGCATGTAAATAAATAAAATAAAGGTCTGTCAACACTAAAAAAAAAAATCTTTTTTTTTTTTTAAAGTGGGCATTAAAGTCTCCACTTATAAAATTATGTTTCTCCCTTCAATTCTATCCATTTCTGCCTTTTATGATTTTGGAGTCCTCTATATATGATTATAATTGTAGAATACCTTCTTGATGGATGACATCTTTTTAATGTATGAGGTCCTTTTGTCTTTTGTAACCTTTTGACTTAAAACCTGATGATTCTGATAATACAGCCATCCTAAGTCTCCTTTTGCTACTCTTTACATGGAATTTCTTTGTTTATCCTTTTACTTTCAACTTTTTGTATCTTCATATCTAAAATGAGTCTAAAGTATCATGAAAAAAAGTCATATGTTTAAATTTATTTTTCCACTCTCTTGAGATTAACCCATTTACATTTAAAGTGATTGCTGATAAGGATTTATTTCTATCTTTTAGCTGCCTCACTTCCTCTATTACTGTCTCTCCCCCACTTTAATATTTATGGGTTTTTTTCCTTTTTTTTGTAATATACCATATTATTTTTATTTTGTGACATGCTTTTTCAATTAGTTAGTTTCTTAGTTACTTTGAGGTTTACAATGACCATTTTAAACTTATAACAACCTAACTCAAGTAATATCAAATATTTTCATATGTACTCTGCTCCTGTTTATCTCCTGTCCTCTGCCTACATTTTGTTATTGTCACATATTGCATTTTTATATATTATGTGCCTGTTAACGTAGTTTTATAATTATTGGTTTGTGCATTTTTCTTTTAAATCATGTTTAAAGAGAAATTATAAACCAAAAGTACAAGAATAGTGGCTTTTATATTTACTTAAGTAGTTACTTGTCTTTGCCAGTATTGTTGTTTCATGTGGCTTCAATTTTCAGTCTAAGAGTCTTATGTTTCAGCCTAAAGGACCCCTGTTAGCATTTCTCATAAGGCAGGTCTACTGGTAATGAATTCCCTTAGTTTCTATTTACCTGGAAATGCCTTTCTCTCTCTTTTTTTTTTTTTTGTTTTTTTGGTACCAGGGATTGAACGTAGGGGCACTTAACCACTAAGCCACATCCCCAGTCCTTTTAATGTTTTTATTTTGAAACAGGGTCTCACTAAATTGCCTAAGGCCTCGCTAAGTTGCTGAGGCTGGCTTTGAACTCACAGTCCTCCTGCCTGAGTCTCCATAGTCGCTCCCCATTATAGGTATGTGCCACTGTGCCTGTTCTAGTATTTTAAAGATGTCATCCCACTACCTTCTGACTTCCTAGCAGTCCAAGATCAAGGTGCTGATTTGTTTGGTTTCCCCTGCAGCCTCTTCCTTGGCTTGTAGATGGCCACCTTCTCACCTGGGCCTCACATGGTCTTTTCTTTAAATGTGTACATCCATGCTGTCTCTTTTTGTGTCCAAATCTCATCTTCTTAAAAGGACACTAGTCATGTTGTGGTAGAGCCACCAAAATAGCCTTATTTTAACTTAATCACTTTTTAAAAGGTATTTCCAATTAGAGTCACTCTGAAGTACTGGATAGTAGGGGTTCAACATATGAATTGGCAGGGGAGGATACAGTTCAGCTCACAACACAGCTATTGTACTTTCCCATTCCACAATTGATATGTGGTTCCTTTTTATAATTTTTATTGCCTTATTGATGTTTTTCTCCTGATTTCCTTTAGTTCTTTATTCATAGATTTATTTAGACCTTTGGGCATATTTAAAACAATTGAATGAACATCTGTGACTAGTAATTATGTCTTGTTTTATTTTCTGTTACTATAGCAAAATACCCAAGACCAGGTATTTTATAAAGAACAGAAATTTATTTGGCCCATAGTTCTGGAGGCTGGGAAGTCCAAGAGCATGATGCTGGCATCTGTTTGGCATCCCGCGAGGGCCTTCCTGCTGCGTCATAACATGAGATGGGAAACCACATGGCAAGACAGAGACCGCAAATATGCTAGCTCAAATCTTTCTTAATCTTCTTATGAAGCATTAACACCATGCTAATTACCTCCCAAAGGCCCCACCCCCAGATACCTTTCACATATTAATTTGGGGATGAAGTTTACAGCACATGAACTCTTAGGGGACACTAGAAACCATAGTAAAAGTCAGTGTCTCAGTTTCCTCAGCATGGTTTATTTTTTCCTGTGAATGTGCCATATATTCCTTTTACTATGCATGCTTTGTGACTTTTTGTGGCGATCTGGCATTTTGAGTATTGTTGTAGCTCGAAATCAGATTCTCCTCCTCCTTAGGGACTTTTTTTGTTGTTGTTGCTACTTGTTGAATCTGCAGTTGTCTGGAACTTTCCCAAAGTATTTTGCAAAGTTTGTGTTCCTTGTTGCATGCAGTCACTGAAGCTTCCATTCTGCTATATATGCAATCAGCTTGTGACCTGCTAGAGATTTCCTGAAGTGTATGTGTCTGTCTGTCTCTCTGTCTGTCTCTCTCTCTCTCTGGGTCCAGGTCCATCTATTCTTAAATCTTATGATAGATGCCAGTGGGAAGTCACTCTGAGGTACTGGGTAATAGGGCTAGGTCACTGTATCATGAGGAGGTCAAAACAAACCTGTGCAGGTCTGCCAGGCTAGCCAGAGTACCCAACCCCACTTGGTTGGAGGACAGGCTCCATACTGTGCATCCTGGCATCAGCCCACTGTTCTAGGAATGCAGGTCTCTTTGCCACCAGGTGTGGCAGGGCTGAGGAATGGTGGGTGCACACACTGCTTTCTTCTGAGTTCAGCAGTCTTTCTCTTTGTCCAGCATTCTCTTCATTGCTGTGTCTGATCACTTTCAGAGTTCTGAAATAGTGATCCCAATCATCATTTTCCAGCTTCTCTATTATGTTGGTGGAGGAGCTTCCTACTCTATTTTCCATAACCTCATTTATGGCATTTATTTCTGTAGAACTCTCTTTAAAGTCTTGTTGTTTAGAATTCCACAATAGATACTTGAACTTTTTGAGGAAAAGATGAATTATTCAATAAATGGTGTTAGGAAAATAGGCTAGCTATTTGGAAGGAAAAGGGCTAGGTTCCAGCTTTACTTTTCATAACAAAGTAAACTATGTATTAAAGGTTTAAACGCCTTTTTAAATGTTTGGAACTTTGTTTAGTTTTCTTAGGTACGGAGAAGGGTATAGAATAAGTGTCTCTTTTGGCTGGAATTAGTACTAACTTTTCTTTCTCTTATAGTACTAAACAAGATTTGTGATGAAATGGAGCCTGGAACAAACTCTTTTCGAGTCGAGTTTCCTGATTTTTCTAGCACCATTCTGCAGAAACTGAACCAGCAGCGCCAGCAAGGACAATTATGTGACGTCTCCATTGTTGTTCAAGGCCACATTTTCCGGGCACACAAAGCTGTTCTTGCTGCCAGTTCACCCTACTTTTGTGACCAAGTACTTCTGAAAAACAGCAGGAGAATTGTTTTGCCTGATGTGATGAACCCAAGAGTGTTTGAGAACATTCTCCTCTCTAGTTATACAGGACGCCTAGTAATGCCTGCTCCAGAAATCGTTAGTTACTTAACAGCAGCCAGCTTCCTCCAGATGTGGCATGTGGTGGACAAATGCACTGAGGTTTTAGAGGGAAACCCTACAGTCCTTTGTCAGAAGCTAAATCATGGCAGTGACCACCAGTCTCCAAGCAGCAGTAGTTACAATGGCCTGGTAGAGAGCTTTGAGTTGGGTTCTGGGAGCCACACTGATTTCCCCAAAGCCCAAGAACTGAGAGATGGTGAGAATGAAGAGGAGAGCACCAAAGATGAGCTGTCGTCTCAGCTCACGGAGCATGAATACCTGCCCAGCAATTCGTCGACGGAGCATGACCGGCTGAGTACTGAAATGGCAAGCCAGGATGGGGAGGAGGGAGCCAGTGACAGCGCTGAGTTCCACTACACCCGGCCCATGTATAGCAAGCCTAGCATAATGGCTCACAAACGCTGGATCCACGTGAAGCCTGAGCGCTTGGAGCAGGCTTGCGAGGGCATGGATGTGCACGCAGCCTACGATGAACACCAGGTCACCGAGTCCATCAACACCATGCAGACAGAGCACTCGGTGCAGCCTTCGGGAGTGGAGGAGGACTTTCCCATTGGGGAGAAGAAGGTGGAAGCAGAGTTTGACGAACAGGCTGATGAAAGTAACTACGATGAGCAGGTGGATTTCTATGGCTCTTCCATGGAAGAATTTTCTGGAGAGAGGTCAGATGGGAATCTCATTGGGCACAGACAGGAGGCTGCCCTTGCAGCAGGCTATAGTGAGAATATTGAAATGGTGACAGGGATTAAAGAAGAAGCTTCCCACTTAGGATTTTCAGCTACTGACAAGCTGTATCCTTGTCAGTGTGGGAAAAGTTTCACTCACAAGAGTCAGAGAGATCGACACATGAGCATGCACCTCGGTCTTCGGCCTTATGGTTGTGGTGTCTGTGGTAAGAAATTCAAAATGAAGCACCATCTCGTGGGCCACATGAAAATTCATACAGGCATTAAGCCGTATGAGTGTAATATCTGTGCAAAGAGATTTATGTGGAGGGACAGTTTCCACAGGCATGTGACTTCTTGTACCAAGTCCTACGAAGCTGCAAAGGCTGAGCAGAATACAACTGAGGCTAACTAAAAATAGGATCTGGCCCTTGAGTGGCATGCACAAAAATAAACTATGGTAATTAATGCAAATCTGGGCACAGATGATGCGTGCTACTTGCTATTATGAGAGAGGCTTAAAAAAAAAAAAAGGAAGATATTTCTGAAAGACCAGCTCTAAGTAGGCCAATTAAAAAATCTAATTCTTCAACTTTGTATGTTTCAGCCTTGGCCTGAAATGGGCGATGGGGATAAGTTAACCCACTGCCCAGATGGCAAGGGAAACCTTCAAGCCAGTTGTGTTTGAAGCAGGTGGACTTGGTAATAGAGACACCTGTACTTGGAACTGGACTCCAGCCTACCAGTTCCATTGCAGTGGCAGCAGTTTTTGATCACTCATTATTACAAGGTCATGTTGAAATTTTATTTTGCTTTAACTATAGATACTTAGGAAATGTGGGGTTTTTTTGGTAGCTGCTTCACTGAATGAAATGCTACTTATGTAAAAGCTACAAATAATGTGATTCCTAGTATGAGAAACTGATTAACAGAGCTCTCTTTGGTTTCATTCTTTCTAAAGAATATTTTAACTAAAACTATGGAGATCCTGAGAGGGTAACACTCTAAAACAAACATTCTGAAACAACTTATGGTACAAGCTTCAGTTTCTGTAAGATGCAACTGTCACAATGTTTCAAACTCTTAATAAGGCACAGTTTTGTATTTTAATACTAACTTTGAGTTTGAATTGTTCTAATTGTAATTCTTTTGGGTGCCAGAGATAGGTGTTTCTAATTGGTTTGCTGCCCCAAATCCTGTTTTTTAAATGTAGCATCCAGGCAGTGAAATCTCCTCTGGTTAAGTGACATCTAGCCTGCTGTGACTCTGACCTCTGTGCCAGGTAGTACCCCAGTTATTGCTCCATCTTAGATTATGGTGCTTCCCAGCAAGAGCAGCCGGTGACCGTAGGTCACAGGAAGGAGGAGCAGAAGTCTTGGCTGAGTTACCTGTGAGCTCTAGGAGTTAACAGTGCTTCATGGCACTTCTATTGTCAGCGACAGTAGAGGAGAAGCAGAATCTTACGAGTGAAAGGTTAAACACGAGGGAAAACACTGCACATGAGGAGTCTTGAAAATACACTGGTGGAAGAGGGGGATACTCTCTTAGAAGGATACCCAGAGCTAATGCTGCCAGTTTCTTTTGAGTGCAGCAATGTGTGTCAAGAGAGGGAAGGAGTCCTAATTTTAGCCAAATATTCTACAGGTTCATTCTTCCAGGTTGCAGATGAGTGCATAAATTGACAAGTCCACACAGCTATATCCAGCAACAAACAAGCAGCTATTCTGAGACCTTTTCTGCCAGCTGGTCAGATGTTTTAGGTTCAAAAGAAGGTGTATACTCAGAATGCTCCTAAGCTGTGTAATGTACCTGAGGTTATTATCAGGGTAGGACAGGGTGCTACTATTATGTCATCTTTCCATAAACTTAACTGGTCTCTTATTTCTAAGTAGAATTTTTTTTCTTAAAATAAAAATAATTTTTCTTGGATTTGGGTAAATTTTGTTTAAAAAGTTTGGTTTTGATCTAACATGGTAGACATCGCTGGCAATGGCCTCTGATCCTCAAGCTCCTAACACAAAGATGTTTACTTGTTGAGCATTGTCTAGAAAGGTTACAAAACAGGGATCTATTCACTAACACTGTATCATTCTCGATATATAAAAAGCACTTTGTATTTAAAATTTTATTATAAATATAAATATATATTGTTTTTTAACCTAGAAACTAGATATTACCTCTTGGTTGTTTGCCACCTTAATATCATCTTCTCTTAGTGTTGAAACTGCCAGTTAGCAGGCCTTTTTCTGTATACTGATGGAATTGTGAGGATGTGACTGAACAATCAAGTTCAGTTGCTCCTTCTCTTTTTCTCATGTTAGAGGTCAGTGAGTTTTATATGATCCTAGCCTTTATGTGTGAGGAGAAATTGTTTTATTGCTCCTACTAATATCCATACTGAGTCAGTGAAGCCATTCCATTCTGCCGAAAGCTTGATCACCACTCCTGTGGTATTAGCAAGACATTTTCTCCCCTTTGAGAAAGTTTGGTGTGCATTTCCCATTAAACATTATATTGAACTGAGTATTAGCACATTTGGAGAGAAGGGTCTGAGATGTAAAACTGAAATATTCTGGGAAAATAATGACCCTTCAGTTCTGCTGAATCAGCACCCTCATCTTGAGTTGTGACAAAGAGCTTTTGTTCAGCCAGGAGTGTGGCCAGTCCCTGGGTGGCAGTTTGGAAGCAGACAGTTGTGCTGTGACTTGATGTGTTTGAAGAGAGGAGTATCTTATTGAAATCCTTATATGTACATCAGCTGCTAAATGTAGAATTTAAATAAGGTCCTCACATCTGCTATTTAAAGTTTCTTGTGGTAGTTCAGGTTTTGGTAAAAATGGGGGTTGCTTATGGGTCAGCCAGGCCCTGTGAGTTGCCGGGTATCAGCCTTAGTCTGGATATGGAATTGCAGTATTGGTGGACTCTGCTTTGCAGGATTAGGAGGTCATGCTGCACTCCTGCCTCCCCGCCCTCAGTTTCTCCTTCAGCCCAGACACAGCTTTAGGAAATCCTTATCCTTCCAAATGTGTTTGGATAGTAACATTTTCCAAACAGTCTTTCAGGGATCATTCAATGGCCTATAACCAAGGTATTTGTCCCCTACTTTGAGTCTTAACTGTGGTTTTTCTCTCATCCCAGTGGGAAAGGGCTTCAAGGCACCACCAGTGGCATTTAATATTCTGCAAAGACTAGGCCTTTCACTCTAGACAAGACACATCATAGTAATCTACTTGGTAAAGCAGATATCTAGCTATGGAAGGACTGCAGTGACTCAGATGCCAGGGCTTGCCCCCAGCCTCTCCTGAGCCTCATACCATTGAGTCCCATTTCTAGATCTTGCCTTCCCCAGTCTCTTTCGGCCCTTGTTTTAAAAGTCTACCCCAAAGGGTCCCCTTTATTCTACTGGGCATTTGTTGAACTACACTGACCTAGGCAGGCTGCTAACTATTGGGAAAGCCTTGTGGCTCCTTCCCACAGAGACTGGCACACCCTGAGCTGCTGCAGAAGGGAAGTTAGGGGCAAGGTTGTGCTTTCCTGAGAAGGGTGTGCTGCAGCCTCAGGTAGGGGTGGGGAAGGCAACTTCAGTAAATCCACTCATTTTTGTTCCTGTAAACTCTCTGATACTTTAGGAATGCCAGAAACCAAGGGATGTGTTACGCCAGCCCCCTTCTGTGCCACTGACTTTTGTGATTTAGGTTGCTTTCATGAGTAACTAACTTTGTTCAGTGAAACCAGGGTTTGTTTGTTTTTGTTTTTTTCCTTTGCTACTCACATATTTAAAGGTACAAGTTTCTTATTTCAGATCTCTACTGATTGTGCCCTATGGGAAGATGCTGGAACACATTTTGGAAATGTGACTTTTTTTTTTTTTTTTTTTTTTTTTGCTTGAAGCCTGTGTCATGTCAGTTGCTGCTGCCTTCTTTCCTTTTATGAGGTTCCCAATGTTTCTTCCAGAAAATTTATTTATGCAAGTCAGGTGACTCGTAGGCCACAAAACCATTTAATGATAAGCAGATTATCATTAGGTGCATATCTTATTGGTATTTGTGAAATGTTATGCCTGTGTTGCAAAAGTTGAATAGTTTTGTCTTTATATAATTGCTGTCTTTGGTGCACAGCATGGTTTTTCTTAATTGAATGTTACTGTTTAATATTTCTTCTTATAGAAGAGACCATGCCCTTTTGTATGACATGTTTTAATAAATGTTATCTGTCAATTTTGTAAAAGTTTTGTTTTTCACTCTGAGTGGATGATCATATCTTGTTTTCATTCTGGTTTTGACCACCTAAGAATAAAGTTGTATTATGGCTTTTTGATAAGTAAATACCGTAAAGTCTGTCACTTGGGCAGTGAGTAACTGTTTACTGTGCCAGGCATTTATGATGATCATCTCACTTTAAGGCTTCTCGCTTTAAGGCTTGGCTCCCTGCCAGCCTTATCATGTATTTAGGCATGCAGGATAGTCTCTGAGTACTCCCTGGGCCCTCTCCTCACCCTGCACCTGCCCTGAAAGTCAGCCTCTATGGACCTGTCCTGGCTGCTGATCAGGATCACCACAGATGCTGGGAGGAACTCGGAGGATAAGGGAAATCTCTAGGGCCTCCTCCTGCCAGGTGTGGGTTGGCTGTGGCTGGGCTTCTCTGCCAGGGGCTACCCAGCTCCAGTCAGGTGACTTCTGAGACTTGGTAATCACACCCTCCTCTTTGCCTCCCAGCCCAGGATTGGTCTTAGCTCCCTGCTTTTTTCAGCCTCAGGTGCTTCACTGTCCTTGAGTGTTTTGGGCCAGAACTCCAGCTGATAGCTTAGGTGTCCTCATTCACAGATAGCCAGCTTTGATGCAGAGAAGGTAGGTATTAACTAAAAGTCACAGAATGATATGAATAGGGCCAGGATTCAAGAGCAGGCCCTTGTGGCTGCCACACATGCGGTGGTTTTTTCCACTGTTCTGTAGTGTCCCTGTGCATTTCACTTGAGTCCTTGTGTCATCTCACTTTGCCCTTCTCCATCCTTTCCCCTCAAAAACCCCAGCCCTCGAGAGGCAGCAACAGTGCTCTTAGAGGCTGTGAGCACCGAGGGCCCCACGTATTTCCTAACAACAGTTCATTACCAGAGACACTGCTTGTTTTAGACCAAACTTAACCATCCTCCCACACAAACCTTCTGTTACCACTGTTTGTTGTGAGGTTCCCCCTCCCTGTTGCTGATTTTTAAGCCTACTCCAGATTGCCTCAGCTAGCCGTCCTCTATATGGGGGAGAAGTCACCCCAAAGGACCATGCTAGTCTTTACTTGAGGCGAGTCTGTTTATCCTGACCAAGAGCAAGCAGCTCAGCCCCTGCAGAATGGTGACCTTTCTCTGACACTCTTTCCCACCCCTACTGGGGATCTCCCGAGGCCCTGGTTGCCACTAGTCTGGGGAATCCCACCTAGGGATCAGGAATCCCAGAACACTCACCTCCCTTGGGGTGGAGGCCAGTGGGGCTAGAGATGAGCAGCATGTGAGGAGAAAGGAGAAGATGGAGTGGCTCATTTGTATTTGGGAACAGAAGGGGGTGGGATGTGAGGGGTGTTACCCATATGGAGCTTATAGCACCTGTGCAGTTAATTTAGATTTCCTCCTAGTCAGCTCAGGGACCACTTCTTCCCAGCAAACCACTGAGGATTCCTTGACAGTCCTCATTCCTGGGAATCCAGGGGGCACTGCCCTAGAATTTGCCTACAATCAGTGGACCTGGGAGCAAATCAGCAGCTGGAAATKAGGTAAGCTCACACTTGCTGTAATAGGCAATTATTATTTGGTGGATGATCTAAATATGTTTTTTCTCAGTGTAGATAAGGGAAAGATAAGAACTCTGCTCTTTTATCTTTCTGTGGTGGAAGGTTTGCCTAGCATGTGGGAGGTCCTCAGTTCAGTCAGTGCAAAAAGAAAGAAAATGCTCTGTTTAAAGTTCAGTGAATGAAGATGGGCACTTAAGGAGAAACCACAAAGGCAGGTGGGGGTGGGGAAAGAAGTCTCTTGGTCTTTTTCTGAACTGGTTTGACTAGTATGAATCAAAAACTGAACAGTTTGATTTTAAAATCTTGTACCAATTTTTATTTCTCTTGAGCAGATAAACCAGTTCATCCTTGCAAGTAGCTGGGTGATCAGTTACAGGGGAGTTACAGTTGTCCTTTAAGGAGGCATGTGGGCTCCATAAAAAAAGATAATTCATAAGCAATGTTGTAGGTTATTAAAAAAATAGTGGATTTTTACTTAGACTCTTGTGATTATGAGTTCTATTTTTTCTTTCTCATGTTCCAAAATAAGAAACCAGTACTAAAGCCATTAAATGTATTTATAACTTAATAAGATACTAGTTACTCCCCAGAGTATACTGGTCTGCCTAATATAACAGCTAACCTTGATGAATGGAAGCTAAAGGTTGCCTCTAGAACTGCTCTTGTTAATTTGGGATCCGTAATGCTGTGATAAAATCTCACATATTAGGGGTCTCTGAAAAGATTCTCAACTCCAGTCATGATGGATGGGTGCCAACACTATAAGCACTGCTGCAATTCCTGTAGGATTTGGCTTAGTTAGAAATTGTAGGCTTTAAAATGACAGCAAAGTGACCTTGAGTCAGACTAGAAAGAATTTTTGCCTCATTTATATAACATGTCAAAATATGAAGTATCTTTTTGTCTAGTCACACTATGAA